CCCAGGCGGGGGCGGGTGAGCCAGCGAAGCGGCGGAGCAGGGCCGGCGGCGGCGGGGCTCCCGCCGGCCTCCCCCCTGTTTACAAACACAGCTGTTGCCGTATATTTGCAATGCTAAGGATAAAGCCACCAGCAGCGAGGAGCAAACGAGAGATGGTGCGGGAGAGGGGTCCTCGGCATCTGGAAAGGACAGGGCGCCTTGTTTTTGAAACTGTCAATTCTCTCAACCCCTATTGTGAGCGCTTCATGCAAAACATCTCGGGCCTTTTAAAGCGGGGGCTTGTGAGGCCGCCTCGGAGTGAAAGGGAGAGGGGGAGAGAGAGGGGCCTAGGGCACGGCAAATAATTATATCAGCGCAGTGAAAAAATGCAACGTGGAAGGCCCAAAACCGGTTGGCTGTCCCTTCCCGAAAGGTTTTCGGGCAGGCTGCGGCGCTCACCGGCGAGCCCCGGCCGCCCTGCAGCCAGGAGCCCCGCGCTCGGCCCAGGAGCTGTTAGACCGCGCTTTCTTCGAGCGCGGTGGCGGGGCTAAGTACCAGGGGAACGGGTAGTGTCTGCAAGCGTGACTTTAGCAAGGTAGATCCCAACGCCTCCATCCTTCTTTTGCTAGCCAGGGCTTTTCATTTTCAGGCGCTCGCCCTCCTTTTGTACTTCCAAGCTGACCGAATAGATCCCAGGACGAGCCATTACATATTCTTTCCAGCAATCCTCTTAACCATAAAAACCACAATTAACAACGTTATCCACGTTTCACATGCTGCATATGTAGAATATTTTCCTGCAGATTACCGCCGTGTGTCGAAAATGCCACTTTTTTACCCCGCTCTGTCTCAACCACTCGCACGTGTGAACAGTGACAAACACAAACATGATGGCATTGCTCTCATTTCTGCAGAAACTTCAATTTATTGGCAACTAAGTCTGTTAGAGGAAAAAGGATCAGAGACCATGTAAAAAAAAAATCACCAAGTGAATTGATTGAACAGCAAACTTCATACAACAGCTACCACTATTTTGCATTGTTGCTGATAGTGGCATTTTAAGTAAACAACCAGTAAAGAGATTATCCCACTGTAGTCAAGTAAGCGTAGGTTACAGAACAATCACTTCTTAACATAAGTTGTTGTAAACGGCAAGTTACATCTTTTAAGGCAATATACCTCGTTGCTGAAGGCATTACACGTGTTCCCTTTTTAATGCTCTGGAGAATTAAACATAGTCCAAAACTTTCTTTTGTCTTCCATCTGGCGGCAGCAATCTTCCCAATAAATTTACCGGCGAACTCTACTTGTGGCGAATGCCTATGGAGTATAGTCCATAAAGTACACGCGCCTCCCTCGATTGCTTTTTCCTCTGGAACATTCTGTTGATTTTTGTGTACACCAGGAATTGGAAAATGGTGGCCATTCATTACTAATACATTTTAAGTTTTATCTCCTGTAAACGTTGCAACAAAATGGTAACCTGGCTCACTTGAAAAAAACTTTGTTTTTCCTCGTTATTAGAACTTACCTTTATGGGAGAAAATTGGTTATTTTTACGTAACTCAACGATATGACTTTATATTATTAAGGCTGAAATGATAATGAACTCTGCTCGCAATAATAATTACAATGCCGTCAGAAACAGCTACCAAACTACCAGAATCGGAAAGAATACCTTTTTTTCCCCCCTTTCTTTTTTTTCCCCCGGTGAGTTATTGTACCTGGCTAATTTCTCCGACGGTAGTAAAAACACGAACGTCCTTGTTAGTGGCTTGCACTAAACTGAGGTGTACACGTGTGAAGATTATTTGGCTGTTTAACTTCTTGCCTTTTGATGTTGCTCGCCCGGCGGGGAGCCCAGCGGAGCAGCCTGCCGGGGATG